CGGCTTTTTTTTATTTTCATGTTGGCTATGACCTTCAATTACTTTCTTTATTTAGTTAGCTTGAGCAAGTTCGTCACGTTCTTGAGGTCACGTGCGCATATGCTTACGCTAGGTCACGGTATTGATTTATAAATTAACAACGGCTTGAGAACACCCTAAGTTAACATACTCCCAAATAGCAAGTCTGGGTTTGAATCTCGTTAATGATACTGTAAATTTAAATAATTTTTTAAACTATAGTGGTGATGTAATAAGAATTTATTATAACAAATTACTTTAATTTGTAATAATATATTAATTACTGAAGCTAGTTAAGGTTTTCTGTAAGAGGTATTTACTGTATATCTGATTTTGATGATAATGAAGAAATTTATAATCTGTTCTGTACATTGAGCCAGACCTATATTGCTTTATAAATTTTTTAATAAAATAAGAACTTAGATTAAAAAATCTAATTTATCTGTGAGTATAGTTCTTATGTTCCTGCTATAATTGTTTTCGCTTGCTATAATTATTTTCACCTGCTATAATTATTTCGTCTGCTAAAATTATTTTGGTTATTTTCACCTGCCGAAATTATTATCGTTATAGACATCAGATCTTTTTATTTGCATTGATTAATACAGTATCTAATTTAAAAAATTATGCATCGTTTTATGAGTGTTAATTTAAGAGGATAAGGCCTTAAATCTATTTAATTTAAGAGTATAAAGCCACTTCAATTTAAATCTATGTTTAACATAACCCCCCCCCCTTTACTGAGCAAATAATAGGGGGGAGTTAAACAACATATAATATATAAATCAGATTCAAATAAACCTAATTCAGGTTTAAGTAACCTATTTTTAGGTTAACATCCCCCCGAAAATTAAACAAGCCATTCAAATATCGTAGGAGCAAGGCATCCATGAAATTCCGATGTAGACATTCATTAAAACGTATGTTTAAAAATATTCACTCATGCTTGAGTCCAAAATTCCGACGGTAAGCTAAAAATCAAATAGAAATGGTGAAATTTGAGTACAGAAGATAATAATTTTGATATGATTCATTGTTGTTCAAATCCCTCTAATAATTTCTGACTTTATGTTAAACAAAGAATTGGATTGGAACGGCCTAAGTGAGTTTTAAACATTTTTCCTTTTTTTTCTCTTTTCCTAATATTATAAAATTAATCTATTGTTACCTAGTATTTCGAATGAACCGATCTGATTAATAAATTCCTAAAAACAACATTTCGTACAATGTGATCTTATACAATTCAATTATGAAAATTTGGAAGTCAAAGATATGTTGGAATTTAATATCTTTCAAAACAAAAAGAGGAAAACAATATTAGAGTGCTTTTCAAATTACTGTGATCAGCAAATTCCACGTATCACACCAGGAATCGGGAATGCAAATATATGATTGATTAAAAAATTATATAATGATACATATCGATATATTATTTGGAATTTAAAGATGAAAATGATTATTGAAGTTATTAATGCTTCCTATGAATACGTAGAAATTTTTGGGTTTAGCTTCACTATAAATCGATACTTTTTTTATAGATTCGTTTAAGTTGTTTTAATAGAAGTATAACGCAATTCTATATATTGGTCGTTTAATTTACTTAGAATTTGTGTCAATTTAATAAAATTTTTAAATAATTAAGATACCTTGAAACTGGCATTTTAAAAACTCTTTTGTTGCCTAAAATTTTTAACATCTTGAAATATTTTCGACATGCTAAAATATTTTCGTCATACTAAAATATTTTGTCATCATAAATTATTTACATTTTAAACTGTCAAAATAATTTCGACATTTTAAATGTCTACTAAAAGATAAATAATTTAGACACCCCATGTATACAACCGAATTACATATATAGAAATAAAATATAAAATTTTTATTGAATTTTGGTTCAGTAATTTTAATGTTAATAATTACCGGTAGTTACTTTTTTAATTGGAAACTTTGCTAACAAAAAAAAAAAAAAAAAAAAAGTAAACAGCTTAAATTAAGCTAAAATCTAATTCATAAGAACTTTTTCTTCTACCGTTTCTATTTGTAAAAACTGACTTAAATGATAATAAAGAAAAAATTTTTTTCAAAAATTATTTAATAATAATAATAGTAATAATAATAATAAAAATCTACATGTAATTAAAAGTAAATCGGACCACTAATAATAGATTGGATCATATACTTTACTCTTTCGCGAATCTTTGGTGTCACTTCAAAATTTGCATGCCTGATATTTAAAATTTTTAAAGGTTTCTTTAACGAATTAATTATAATATCCAAATGTTCTTCATTAAAACATTCACAATGCTCAAAGCTTAAAGATTCCAATGGCGCTTGACAGGTGTGAAGAAAATTTTCAAGTGATGTAGAGGTAAAAGACCATTTCATGTTTATTTTAAAATTTACCAAAGAACAAGGTATTTCAGCTCCTAAGAGTGATAAAATTTCATTAACATTAATAGTTTCAACTGTTCTCATAAAATAATGTAAATCTTCATATCCTCTTCGATCAGGAGTATTTTTATCCCAAATTTCAAGTTGTTCTAACTGTTGACAAGCTTTAAAAAACATTGGAAGATGGTGAATTTCTTCAGGGTAAATAAAAGCCAATATATCTGTAATATTTGGATTATTTTCGGCACAGTATTGAAGAGTTTCGGAGAAAGTACCATGTACAGAATGTTGTTCAAGTTTAATTTTTCTCAAAGATTTACCAGATTTAATAAGAAAAGTTTTAATTAACATATCTGGAACAGCAGATAATATTAATTCTATAACACCTAAACATGTAAAAGATTTCAAATTAACATTGCTGTAATCAAGTACTCCGAAATTCCAGCATCTTGAAATAATTAATTCACAAAGATTTTGACATTCAGCTAATTGTTTCAAAGGAAAATCATTATGAAAATCGATAGAAAAAAAGTTGCATGATGACAAAGTTTCAGCTTGGGATCCAAGTGAACTAAAAACATTTGTCAAATCCAATGCCAGAGAAAGATCTTGTGGACAACAAAAGCAACCGATTCTATTATCTACTGAAATTTTTTCAAGTTGTTTCTGTGACTTGATGAAAGTTGATATATCATTTATGGTTGTTGACATAATTGGACAGCCATAAACGAGGGATAATCCTAAGTTTTTAATTCTTGTAGAAACCTTGGCGGCAGTAGCATACAAATTCTCGGTTGGTTCACCATAACAAGTAAACTCTCTGAGATAATAAAGACTAGTTAAAGCGTTAGAAAGCGTAAATAAGTTCACATTAACAATAGCATCGAATTCGGATTTAAATTCGATACTCTTAATAGTTTGAGCAGAATTAACAAAATGAGCACATAAATATTCAAAGATTGGACATTTAATTGCTATTTTCTTATATTTTATCCAATGTCCAGATGCCGTTCGAATTTGTATAATATTCATCCTTCGCAAAAATTTTGCATAATTAAAAATTGGATTATTTGCGTACAAATCCTTTAATGGGAAATCCAAAAGATTTTGTAATGTCGGAGGAAAACTAGCAATGTATATATCTACAAGTGCCGTGGCATGTTCTAATTGAAGATTATTATCAAATGGGTCCCTCCATAAAATTGGAATGGCTGTTTTATACCAATCCTTGTTTACGTAAACGCATGATAAAATATCTGTTAATTTTGTTGTGGAGCGATTTATAAAAATGTGTTCGAAAATTTCAAGAAGACATAAATAAGGTAATTTTGCAGCCATTAAGATGATTAAACGATTTTTTTTTTCATTATTTAAAGATAATCTAATTGTTGAATTGCACAAACTTTTTTTTTTTTTCTTTATTTATGCAATATTATATAAATAGCCATTGTTCAAAGTACAGATATTGAGTAACTGCATTATAAGCAACGTCTGTACAACATGACTTAATTCAAAATTTTCCACTCGAAATTTCACTATTTAAATTATGCAGTTTGTTTATTTAAAATGAGATCTTA